ATTTGGAAGACGCTCGAAACTCTCGTGAAGACTTTTGGGGTAGTTTATTCCATGAAAGAGTGTTTGAATAATGGGGAAGGATATGACAAGGAAGAGGAATGAAAGCTCGCGCACGGCCCGTCACCCAATTGCTAGAGTGCTGATCCGGCATGCATTCGCCTGGTATTCATCAGAGATATCTCGATCCAACTAGTTGACAGCTAAATTTCTCTTTCTGGCTGTGGTTGAATTTGCCTCGCTGAGTATTCAATAGCTAGGCAGCTTTCTAGCTAGTGTTGATGTGAGTGATAGTGAATACTTCACGAGGCAAGAACTTTAGGACCTCTGGAACAAACATGATGCAGACTCAACGGTGTTATATCTCATCTATCCCAGTTGGTATTTATACTAAGAAGTAGTTAATTTTAAAATTATATATTTTGATATCGTTTGTGCTTCACATTGCTCTTAAATGTGTATTGAAATTACGTGCAAATTAAAACAGATAATTTTGAAAAATTGAAGAGAGATAACCAAATATTAAGTAATCTTTTGAATTCTCCTCAAATAAGGGAATAGATCATGAATATGTATTGTGAGAAACAGTAAGTGAATTGAATGTTATTCACTTGGCACAATAACGAGTTTTTTCCTGAGCTTATTGTTCACGCAGTTTTGATTGGAAATACACTTTGATCACTCTATGGTAATGCCAGGGATGATTGCATTGGGTTAGTCCATGTTCGAATGACCGGGGAATCCCCGTTCATAATCTCTACATTGATCTTTATCCTCCCGTTCGTTTAACCTCCCCGCCCACTAATCTTCGTTCTACCAGCCCCGATTTGCCCCGCGTCGTCCCCTTCTGACCCTGTCTATTTCGCCTTTCCTTTCCCCTCCCCTTCTCATCCCGTCGCGTCACATGCCGCCGATTCCCAACCCGTCCCAGTTCGTTCCGTCCCGTCCCGCCCCGCCCTCCATAGTCCTGGCCTGACTCATCCTGATCTGTCTCATCTTGACACGTACCGTCACATTCTGTTACGTTCCACTGGCAAATGTGACTCAGAGCATCAATTGCTCTCACTGCAGTCCTTCTGACCGGGGGGTCCTAGAATTGCTAGGCCGAATTCAGCCCCTGTCTGGAGGATAAATCTAGTGGCCGGCTGCTCTGATCGGTGGCTTCTCCGATCAATGCAAGGCGAAATCTTTCTTTCCTCTGCCTTTTTCTATCGTTGCCCCTTTCTTATAAATAGTTACATTGATATGCACTACACGACCACAAATGTCGGGAGATTAGTCTGGAGTAGAGTTTGTCGCGCTTGAGACGAGGTCTGCTGGTGGGAGATCTCCAACTGGGGAAAATCTAGCAATCCGATGTAGGTTCGAGCCGAATTTTGAAATCCAGCGAGAGAGCGCGATAAAACATGCACTACACTTTTGAGACTAGCGGCTTTAGCACTTAACGCGCCAAGAATCTAATCAATCTATATATCTATTTATTTATGAAGTTTTATTACATCGTGTCACGCTCCGCCCCCGCTGCCCCGTCTCGTACCATTGCCCTGCTACCTACCTCATCCTATGCCCTACGGTCTGCACAACCCCGTACCAATCCCTCATACCTCAACCAGCAACTCATTCCTGCCTTTCTCTCTGGCCCCGGCAAGAGTAGCAGCGGCCTCTGGGACAGGTGGGCGCCCGTGCAACTTTGGCCCCCGGGGCGCCATGACATTCGCCGGCCGACCGCCCCGGGTCGCCAGCAGCGTTGCCGCACTTCGCCCGGGTTAGGCTTGCCCCGCTCCGGGGTGGAGTGGGGCGGAGGGAATTGCTGCGGCCAGCCCAGAGCTTGGAGTTATAATGGAATTGCAGGCAGGCGGGGAGAATGAAATTTGGCAAGATGATTTGCTGCTTTGGAATCGGCGCTGTATAACTGCGGGCTATGTCGTTCAAATACTTGATTACGCGAATCGCAATACCCTAAGAATAAGAATGTCAACATTGTGATTAGTTTTAAGGGTCTCGTTGAGATCGTGTGTAAATAAAAAAATATCCTTTCGATACTGGTACTTCCAAATTTGCACAAGTAGTTGTGATGTGGCATCCCTTGGGGAAAATGTTATTGTCTACTAAACCTCTCACAAATTTTATCTTTGACTTTCATGTATGCCTATTGCCTAGACATTCTAGCACGAAATAAAAGATGGTACCTAAAGAACAGATTGAAATAATCACCAGGAAGTGTAATTCATTAAAGTCTCACAATGCTTTCAACTTAAGTTCTAATAAATCAAAAAGTAAAATGTTTCAATATAGAGATCTTCATCTCAATATAAAGAATGTCAAGGTGTTCAGTAATGATGTTTTTCAAGATTTTTTCTTGAGTTTGCCCATCATTTTATCAACTTTAATTATACCTTAAAAAGTACACATTTAAAAAAGGAATTGTGCTTTGCGTCATCATGTTCCACACCCATTACTGCATTGATTTAGTGTTTGTCGCGAGTGATCTGTGTATTACGAATGTCGTCCGTTTGAATGTTAATTAGGCGAGGAATGTGTACTATTGCTGTGTGCATGACGGGTAGAATCGTGAGCAAACACACGGAAACAAGTGACCGTATCATTTGCTCAGTGATACGACCCGTGCCTATTATGCACACAATATATCTGCTACGGTTATGTGACTAGTTTGAGCGCATGTTGCTTCTGTGACGTTGTAATTAAGCGGTAAATGCGTTTGCATTATTTCTCGACTGATTTCTGTAAACAATGTCACTGTAATGGAGTTTATTTGTTCTATAATGTTTACAGTTCGTTTTGTAAATATTGAATAATCATTGATTTTGTATAAACATACCATTTAGTTTTATGAACGTGAAAGAAAAGTATTTTATGTTTCAATATGCATTTATATCTTAAAATTAACTTAACACTCCTAAAAATAAATGTCAAGAAGAAAATTACTATTTTCGAAATTAAGCTTTATAAACAAATGTATGCAAATGAATTCGAGAAACTCAGTCCATACCGTGATATTGAGGATATTTTTTCTCTTTTAGTTAACATTTTTTTAAAGCAGTGATTCAATAAATTTCATGAAGGGTGACGCAGACCAGAAACGTTCTTTGCAGAGGAGTAAAATCCCTGGGTGTTCTTCGATCGTGTAATGTAGGATGTTTTATTTCGTGAAAAGTTGATAGAAAGGGGTTGAATAATATTGTTCCGGCTGGATGATAGACTATTTCCGACTAGAATCGGCACGTCAACATCGAATAGCCATTTTGCTGTCACGTCTTCCTTGTTAGCAACAGTGTCCGATAGCAGATAGTCCGACGATTTCTCACATGAATACAACCTCTTTCGTGTGTCGTAATTTATTCTCCCCAATCAGTGTTTGGTTGAGATAACATCTACGGTTTCTGAGTATTCACAAATTGCAGAGGTCTCATTGATGACTTAACATTCATTCTGTTTTAGAGAAGTTACATCGCGTTGGAGTTTCTATACCAATTTTTCCGCACCATTTTTTTGTGTGATTTTTGAAAGAATCAAATTTAATTTTTTTAAATATTTGTTAATGGTTTGACCAGGTCTTCTAGGCATGAGATGAACATAGATTGTTGATATAATTTGATAGTTATGCTCTATTTTTATCGAGGCTAGTATGTCTGGCACTTCATTGTTTCGGAGTTTCGGGAGTAGAATGGGGGATAAACAGTCGTATTACTTTCGAGCGGAAGTTTAGAGTTATTTTCTCATGTGTATGTAAGAAAAAGATCGGGACGGATAATGTGATTCATCGATGTAAAAAGCGCCAGCATTCTCGTACATTGTGAAGATTGAGGAGTAAGTCGCATCTAAATGTTGTCCTGAGTTTCCGAACAGCCAGCGTTCATGTTGCATGAAGTGTCTGCTTCCTGAATGCGGAGCGTTCTGTGATCTATGTAAAACAGAGAGACCGGGAAGTAATATTTGTCACTCGGAGTTGATACACTAAAAACTACGTTTTAGAGGTTCGTGGAGTCATAAAAGAAAGTGGAGTCATAACTGTGGACGAGATGGAGCTGTGGCGTAGAGCTGTGGTACGGATAATGGCTTGGAGATCGAGCAGCGTGCAAAGTGAGAGACTAAGGAAAGGTCAGAGACCTGTGGCTAACACAGAAGAAAAGCCATAGGCTCCGTTCTGTGGGTAGCTGAAGAGTTGAGGAGTATTGAACTTAAAATTTACCATTTAAAGCATTGTTCAAGATAAACCTTTGTATGGGTGATTGAACGATTGCTGACTTTGCGATTGACGTGGATTTTGAATCTTCGCTGAATTATACGTTATAAGTGGGGGCTTTGTTATCGTTGAGACCTGCATTTAACGTGTGTTGAATTGTTATTGAGTTCTGCGTGGATATTAAAGCTTTGTTGAGGTGCGTTTGACATAGGTTGTTTCTCTTCTGCGATTGACGTTGGTTTTGAACCTTCGATGAATAATGCGTTTGAAGTGGGTGTTAAGCCATTATTGTTCTGCGTTTAACGAGGGGATCAACCCTTTGTAGAGTTCTGCGCTTAACATTGATATTGAATCATTTTTGGGATTTGCTGTTGTGTGTGAAACCATTGTTGAGTTGCGATTGACTTGGGTGTTAAACCATTGTTGAGTTCTGTTTGACGTGAGTATTGAATCCTTGTTGAGATGTGTTTCTTAAACCAGTGTTGTGTGTTTGTTAAACCATTGATGAGGTGTGTTTGTTAAACCATTGATGAGGTGTGTTTGTTAAACCATTGTTGAGATGTTTGTTAAACCATTGTTGAGATGTTTGTTAAACCATTGTTGAGATGTGTTTGTTGAACCATTGTTGAGATGTGTTTGTTGAACCATTGTTGAGATGTGTTTGTTCAAACATTGTTGAGATGTTTATTAAACCATTGTTGAGGTGTGCTTGTTAAACCATTGTTGAATTGCTCTGCGTTTGACGTGGGTGGCGAGTGGCGAGCGGCGCTCTGAGTGCGGCGCGCGTGGTGTGTTGCAGGGGGCGGCGTGGGCGTGGGCGGCGTGGCCGTGGGGCCGGGACCCGCGGGGCGCGCGCTGCAGGCGGCCGCGCTCGTGCTGCTGGCCGTGCTGGGCTCCGCCGCCAACGCCCTCGTGCTCGCCGTCTTCCACCGGCGCCCCGCGCTGCGCTCGCCCTCCAACAGGTACGTCCGCCCTGCGCCCACCAACCCTAGCTCTCCCGCCACGCTGTAAAGATAACATACCTACTTATCCAATAATATGTTTTAATTCCCTTAATCAGCAGTTGATTGGATACACAATAACAAGAAAACTCGCTAAACGCACTCGCTAAACATTGTCTCGGAAAATCGAGAAACACTTAAGCAAGGCGCGGAAATACTTCAGATCACGTGCACTGCTGTTTTAGCGCTGTAACGCATTTTTGTTGCCCAGACGACCGTCAGATGGCATCATAAAACAGAAATGGAAGGCTTTGCAGAACTGCAACGCTATGCACTTGCATGTTTCAAATACTATTTTCTTCTGAGATAAACACGAGAACAACTTTTAACATTGAATAGTTACGAATTAGTACGAGTGGCGTGTGGAAGATTCTTTGATGTTTTTCAATCTGCTTATTTTTTCATAATTTAGTTATATTTTCATTAAACACGCGAGCACAAATTTTATCACATGAAAGCTTTTCCAAAATGCAATATTTAAAAAAAATACTATGCAATGTCTCACGTTAATGGAAAATGCATACATATTTATTAAAAAAAGAAGCATAGAAAGTATCGTTTCAAAGAAGCGTACTGTTACTTTTTAGTTCTTAAAGAAAATTTACTACCCATCAGTTTTATTTTTTAGATATTAGTTATTTCGTTTAATGCATACAAATATTGCATTAAACAATTCAGAAGGTTTAACATGGCGGCCATAATCAACTACTGTTATGTGCCGCTATCTGTCATAATATGTATCCACATCCTTCACTTCTATTCCACCGTTTTTCCTGACTAATTTTCATGTGTTTCAAACAAGGCCGCGTTTTTGGAAGTTTTTGTTAAATGACAAAAAGGCAAACTATATTATTTCATACCTAAACAAATTTTTGATTTGGTTTCATAACCTTTTCAGATGCATGTTTCATTATCCATGATCGTCCTCTATTAATGTACATTGTCATTATCTTTTCGCTTCCTGTTGCAGAAGAATCATGAGTTTTACCGTTACCTTTACCGTTTCCGTTCAATTTTTATGTGGCTGCGCATTCCTTAGCGTGGTGGTTATTGACACAGTGGTTCTCACGTTGCGGGCAGGTTCGTGCTGTCGCTGGTGCTGGCCAACCTGGTGTCGTCGCTGTGCGTGGCGCCGCTGCTGCTGGTGCAGGTGTTCCACAGGGACGCTGGGTCGGGCGGGGGCGGGCCCGGGTCGGGCGCGACCGGGGGCGGGCCGTGGCTGCGCCAG